TCTCTCTCTCTCTCTCTCTAGCAAAAGAGGTGAGGACTGTTGAGTCAGTATGAGCCAGAACTCTGAATAGTGCCATGTTTTGCAGCCACCTTGCTTCTCCTTGAGTCCTCCTGTTCTGCAGCAGGGTCTGCAAACACCGACGCCTGTATCATGCAGCCATCTTTACATTTTTAACAGGCCGTGAGAGCAATCATACAAAAACAAAGAAGAACTGACAAAAGGGACTGTAAGTGGCCCTAAAACTCAGACAAAACCAGTTGGGCTACAGGGAAGAAAGAAAAAAAACACAAAACTAACTTCTTTTTTTACAGGATAAAATGAAACACTGGTTCCAATGAACAGAAAAAAATTAGTTTCAAAATTACTTTACACTTGGTGTCTAGCACAGTATTTGACAAAAAAAAAATATTCAAGAAGGAAGGAACACATTTGTTCAAGAAGGAAGTATAATAGCCTCAAGTAGAATAGCCTTCTACTTTAACTAGCACTGCCCACAATCCTACTCCATAGTTTAAAAGTAGGATTTTAGCACCAAGATCATGGCTTAATGGCAAGGAATTGCACTGCCAAATCAAAGGAATGTGGTTCAAACCCACCAGCTGCCCCATGGGGAACAATGGGCAATCTCCTCCCAGGCTATCTACAGCCTCTGAAACCTGCTAGAGCATCAGCTATGAGTCGGTTCCAACTCAATGGTACATAACAACAATTCCTCCTAAGAGAGAAGGCAAAGGCTTAAGCTAAGTGAAAGGGAAAAAGAAAGAGCAAGGAAGAATCTGGATCATTTTAAGGAGCATAAAGTAACATTAAAACATAGGATTTGATATTTTCGGAGATGAGCAAAAAGATTGTATTCATGATTCAAGGATAAGTTGGTCAGCTGGGAGAAATGTTCTGAGAAAATAGTGAGATCTTACAATTTGATTTAAAAATTCATTTGAAAATTAAACAGGATTTGAGTACAAGGTTGAAAAAAAATCTTTCAAAAGCTTTTGAGGGAACAATGAGGAGAGGGAGGGAGGGAGGGGGAGAGAGAGGAAGAGGGAGAGGGAGAGAGGGAAGGGGAGAGAGGGGGAGAGAGAGAGAGAGAGAGAGAGAAAGAGAGAGCATATACACAAAAAAGGGGAAGAAAATGAGCTTTCAATTAACAAAAATTCTAGGAAGAGAACATCATGTAGAGAAAATCATTAGAATCCTGAACAAAAAAAGTCCTCAGAATGAAAGAACATAAGGTTTACAGGTTGAAGAGACCCACACCACATTTCTAGCACAAGGGGTGAAAAATTACCACATGAACAAAGAACAGCACCATAAACTCACACCTATGAATAAGGAGGAACCTCTAATAAAAATTTCAAGAAAGTAGATAAGGAAAACGGGTTTACACACTGCAGACCAGGGAATTGTTACAGTAACACTGGAAGAATATAGAACAAACCTTGAAACTGTAGCGAGAAATTATTTTCAATACAGAATTATATGTCCAATCCCAATATCAATCAGATGAGAGGGAAATGAGCAAATGTTCAAAGTTGTAGAAATTTATGCTCAACATACCTATACCACAAAACTACCAAAAAATGTGAGCCATAAACACATGAATGAAGTGGTAAGATTGTATGGCACCCAGACAGAGGGAACCTGGCACTGGGAACAGCATGGGCACCCTGAACCTCCCCAGATAAGAAGATCGAGAAGCTCTTGTATGGCAGCGGAGGGGCATCAGCACTATACTACCCTCCTAACAAGAACAGGAGATCTGAGAGCTCTAGGCTGTTGGAAAGAAGAAAGATAAGCAAACAAGAGACAAGTCTGCTGGAACCGATGGGTGTTGCTGGTGGTCACTGTTCAAATAAATTGGTATATTGAAAAAGAATATGGATTCCAGTAAGTGCTAACACAAATCAACGCGAAGAAAAAGAATCACTCTTTCTGGCAAATGGCCAGATTGAGGCTGAGTAGGAGTATGTCATTCTTTATACAGCATACCAATCCTTTCCACTTCAGTTACATAAAAATTGAGCACAGCCATAAATGCAAAAAGTGAAACCTATAAATTCCAAAAGATAACAGAAGAGTAACACAGGATTTGGTAAAAATTACACAGGATTAAAAAAACCCCAAAAAACATAATTATAAAAGAATCTAAGCAAGAGCAAAATAAGTTAATGGATACAGAAAACAAAATATTTTATAAAAGAGGTACTATGACTCTACTGTGTTAGAATGTTCTGTTGTGAACAATATTTACTTGGTTATAAAAATGGAGATACTACTTATCAACTTAAAAGGTGTAATAAAATAGTATTTAGAGTATGGGGAAGGGAAATGAAACTAAGTTTCATCAAAGCTCAAAGTGACTAGATAAATTCTAAACCTCCAAAATTATTAAGTAATAACAGAATTTATTTAAGGTTATGGGTATGAATATACCCCAAACAAGAGAAAGATTTGAATGATGATATCTTTGGAGAGAAGAAACTGGGATGCATATTGTTGTGGGACAAAGATGCTGTTTCTATCCAGAGTCTTACAAGTTGGTTGTTTTCTTTTTTTCTTCTTGTTTCTTTGTTTCCTAACACTGCTGTCAAGTCACTTCCAACACACAGTGCTCATTCACTGAGTTCCTGAGGCAGCAAATCTTTACAAGCAGAGATTACCTGTCTCTGTCACAGAGTGGCTGGTAGATTAGACCTGCTGACTTTTTGGTTAGCAGCATAGCACGTTATACACTATGCCATCAAAACTCCCAGGAATGACAAAATGTTGGACAACTGTACTAGGTGAATACAAAGAAAGAAGTTTAAAAATCACAAAGAAACATAACATTGTAAGAGAAAATCCTCTTGCAAAAATGTCTTAAATTGCAATAAATCCCTCCATTTTCTGAATCCCCAAAGGATGGCTATATGGTAAGTCTGAAAAGAATAAGTTTGAAATAACAGGTAGATTTCAGAATCAATCCAGTCTTTTCTGGAGGTTACAGGGTTTTCTCCCCTTCTTTGAAAGTGATTTGATTGTGATCTGTAAGAGATCAGAACAGAACCTTCCTACTTAGAAATATCTACATTTAAGTGCAATTAGATATTTGCCCTGATGTTACTGCTGTTTTCCAACCTATAAAATTCTGGCCCTTAGCCACACCACTGTTTTTTGGCTAAGGGCTAGAATTGTGTTTATGTCTCATTGTGAAAACAAATTTTCCAAAAGACATCAAAATTAATCTGTTATACTAATTTGCTGTACATAAAATGTTAAGCCTATAATTTGAGTAATGATGACAGCAGTAAATATCTAGAGACAGATTAAACTGTGAAGACAAAGGAAGGTGTCTGAATACAATGCTTTCCTCTTGTGCCATAAAGCAACTACCTTCAGTCAAAACCAGAAAAGTTCAGAAAGAGGAGTTCTGGTTTCTTTAGGGTATATTCCCAGTATGGAATTGCTGGGTCAAATGGTATTTCTATTTCCAACTTTTTGAGAAAGCGCCATACTGCCTTCCATATTCTTTTGTAACATGTGAGATGCACATTTCAGACAGTCACTACTTAATAAGACGGGTACCAACTATGGAGAAGGTGCATATTCTCCAGAAAGTCCCTAATCAGAACTTCATAGATAGTTAAAATAAAAATAAAAATAAATCCATTAAATTAACTTATTCGGTAGATCTCCTGAAGCTCTGGCTGCCTTGTTGTAAGGAGTTGCACTGCCATGCCCAAGGCAGGAGATTTTAATCCACTAGAGCCATTCTGAAGGAGAAGGACAGGCAATCACCTCCCGTGCAATTTAGAGCTTCTGAAAACTGGCTGTACTGTCAAGTACAAGTCAGTTCAGATTCAATGGTATATAACACACAACAATGATGGTTTGAGCAATTCATTACAGTGAAGTTCTGTTCCAATGGCCTATACTTCCACTGAATTGCAGGGATGTTCTATATTGAAGTTTCTTCCCACATTGAGTCCACTTGGCTCCAACACTATTTTGGGTTCCATTTAATCTGTTCTTACAAATTGCAATGGCTGCTTTTCAACAAAGGAGTTTATATCACAAAGGTAAAAAAGTTATCAAAGTATTAAAGTAATTCTTATATTAGAGATATTTTAGTAATTAGGAAGTGTTCTTCCTTTTTTCCCCACTCCTTTATGCATTCCACCAGAAACAGCATCAGTTTCTAAAACAAATAAACCTGTAAATAGCTGTGTTTAGCTTCTCTAAGTTTGTCACTTTTTGTATTCCTTTTAAGCAATAAGAAATGAGCAGTGAACTCACCACACCATAGGAATATGTGTCGCAAGTTTCAGACACAGGGAGACTCTGGATCACTTCCGGAGCCATCCAAGGGAAAGTTCCAACCAAGGACATGTGTGTTGTGTGGTTATGGAACCGAGAGGCACCAAAATCACAGATCTGGGAAAAGGTAAAAGGCATCATTTTCTATTTATTAAGCAATTTTAAAAACTGTCAGTCACTGTCCATCTAGAATCACAAAAAACATATTATTTTATATGTAAAGAAATAACCTACCTTTAGTACTCCATCTCCGGCTATAACAACTAAAGGGGGGGGGGAGAAAAAAAAATACATTATGACAATCATCTAAGTGGCTTGAAATGGTTTGTTCTGAGAAAAAGTGCTAATATTTATTTCTAAACTCAGCTTAGCACAACAAAAGGCAAAACAAAAGCATTTATTGCATTGATGATTTTGCAACCAAAAATTCAATTCCCTGAGGGTTGATCTCAAAAAACTTTCATGAAGGGAGCTCTGGTGGCCTAGTGGCAAGAAGCTGCACTGCAATTCCAGAGGTGTGTGGTTCAAATCCACCAGATGCTCCGCTGGAGAAGGAGGGACAATCTCCTCCTGTACCAGTCAAATCTGATTTGACAGTACATGTACACACACAAACACACACACGCACAAATAAAATTTAAAAAAAAAAGCTTTCATGACAGTTGTTTAATCAGATACAGCACTGTCCAGTAAAAAAGGCACAAAGTAGTAGTAATCATTAGGAACAAGTGAATAACAAGTCTGGTATCCTTATTCTCATGGAGTTTACAGTTACAGGACAGATGTGACACAACATGGGATAAACCTCACAATGAGAGAAACAATGTGGGAGAGATATCTCAGGCAGTCTAGGATGACCAAAGTCTCCTGGAAGAAATTATGTTCATGCTAAGCCCTGCAGAATAAAGAGATGCTAATCAGAAAGATTCTATTGTACATAGAGTTTTCAAAGGCCTGTTATTTCGGAATTGGATGGCCAATCCTTATTCCTAGTTTGTCTTATTTTTTTTTATAACAGTATCTGATAATCACTTTATAAAAAAGAGCAGATGAAAGACATTGACCCAATTAGAAAAATGACCAATAGATTCAATGCGCCAGGAAATCAGGAGATGAATTGCATTGGGAAAGTCAGCTGTGAGGGACCTCTCAAGAGTGCTGAAGAGCAACGACGACAGGCTGGAGACTAAGGTGCACGTGATCCGGGCTATAGTCTTCGCAATTACATGCTATGCATCAGAGAGTTGGACAGTGAATAGGGTTGATAGAAAGAGGATTGATGCCTTTGAGCTGTGGTGCTGGAGAAGAGTGTTGAATATACCATGGACTCCTAGGAGAACAAACAGGTTTGTCCTGGAGAAGGTGAAGACGGTATGCTCCTTGGAGTCAAGAATTCTGAAGCTTCGTCTGACATACTTTGGGAATATTGCAAGGAGGGACTGGTCCTTGGAGAGGGACATCATGTTTGGCAGAGTGGATGGGCGGCTACAGAAGAGGATGACCTTAGATGAGATGGATCAATTCTGTGACTGGAGTGGTGGGAATGAGTACGTTTGAGATGGCTAGGTTGGCACAGAGTAGAACGGAGTTTACAGCTCTTGTACATAGGGTCACTATGAATTGCAAACAAGTCAATGGCACATAACAACAACCCACCCTTGCACGTGTATTTTGACCCACCCTTTTCTTACTCCACAACCACCTGGCCAACTGACTGGAAGAGATGGATATCTGTTCCCATTCCAAAGAAACATAACCTGACAGAGTGTGGAAATTATCAAACAATGTCACTGATATCACATGTAAGCAAGATTCTGCTGAAAATTACCCAAAAATGACTGGAACAACAAGTCAGCAGAGAACTTCCAGATATGCAGGCTAGGTTTAGAAAAAGACATGGTACTAGGGATATTATAGCTAATGTTAGATGGATCTTGGCAGAAAGCAGAGAGCACCAGAGGACTGTCTACCTGTGCTTCATTGACTATGCAAAGGCTTTTGACTGTGTGGATCACAAAAAGCTCTGGCTGGCTCTAAGAAGAAAGGGACCCCCAAAACATTTGATTATGCTTATGTGAAACCTATACTGGAACCAAGAGGCAGTCGTCAGAACAGAGCAAGGAGACATTGCATGGCTCAAAATCAGGAAGGGCATCCACCAAGGATGTATTCTGTCTCCATACCTTTACAATCTGTATGCAGAACAGATAATCCAGGACACTGGGCTGTACAAGGAGGAATGTGGCATCAGGATTGGAGAAAGGCTCATCAACAACTTGCGTTAAGCAGATGACACAACCCTGTTTGCTAAAACTGGAGAGGACCTGAAGTGCTTGCTGCAGAAGGTCAAGGACTGCAGCCTTCAATATGGATTAAAGACCAACATCAAGAAAATGAAGATTCTCACCACTGGGACAAATGGCAGCATTATTATGGATGGTGAAAAGATTGAGATAGGTAACAGTTTTAGTTCCAGCAGCCAGGAAATCAAGAGATGAACTGCATTGTGAAAATCAGCTGTCAGGGACCTCTTTAGAGTACTGAAGAGCAATGATGTTAGGCTGGAGACTAAGGTGCGCCTGATCTGGGCCATAGTATTTGCAATTGCATGCTATGTGTCAGAGAGCTGGACAGTGACTAGGGATGGTAGAAAGAGAATTGATACCTTTGAGCTGTGGTGCTGGAGAAGAGTGTTGTATATACCATGCACTGCTAGGAGAGCAAACAGGTCTGTTCTAGAAAGGGTCAAACCAGGTTGCTCCTTAGAGGCAAGAATTCCTTATCTGACATACTTAGGGCATGTTGCAAGGAGGAACCATTCCTTGGAGAGGGACATTATGTTTGGGAGAGTGGAGGGACAGCACAAGAGAGGAAGACCCTCGATGAGATGGATCGATTCAGTAATTGGATTAATGGGAGTAGGTGTGTCAGAGACAGTGAGGCTGGCACAGTGTAGAAGCAGGTTTTAGGCCTCTTGTACATTGGATCACTATGAGTTGCAAGTGACTCGAAGGCACATAACAACAACCAGAAAGAGTGCAGGCAGAGGCAGAGGGATCCTTTTTCTAGGAGGAAGAAAGAGCTTTTACAAATGGTGAGAGCCGAAACAAGGATGCATGGTGGTGGTTGTGAAAGGACAGAGCCAGGTCAAGAAAAGCCACTGTGAGAAGGGAAAGCCAAAGAATTTGGAGGAAACAAAAATTTCCCCCAAATTCATAGCTGTCACATCAGAACTGACGCACAGCTGACACTCCAGCAGGTTTCCGAGGCTGTAATCGATGGGAAGAGACTGCCCATATTTCCAACCTAGAGATTTGAATCATGAGAGAGGGCCTTTGGGTTAGCAGCCCAATTCCCTACAAACCATGTCACCAGACCTCCCTGAAAGGATTTTACATGGAGTGAAATGATACTATGTGGTCTGACAACTATAATAGAAAGAAATACAGCTGGAGGCAAGGGGATCACTGTAGAGGTGGTTTAGTCAAAGTTAAGAGATGTAAATGTTGTACTATGGCTGTGGTCAAGAGCAGGAAGGAAATGGACTGTATTAAAAAACAACTCAAAACAACACTTAGGAGGAAGAATCAATCAGGTTTGATTAACTATTGGGTATGCTGGAGAAAAATGAGGAGGAATTAAGGATGAACTCAAATGAAGAGACAGTGCACTCTAACATAGGTTATTTCCCTGATTTCCATCAGCAGCCATCCAGTTAGAGATGGCTAAGATCTGCTAAGTATCCTGGGAAATGTGTGGTTTCAGGAGAGTGACCAACAAGCTTCACTGAGTATATCACTGTTTACACTGCAAAGAGTATTTATCAGAGAAGTCTCTTTGTTGAATTATAAATAGTGATAACACTAGATTAAGATATTCTTGAAGTCTCAGTTCATATGGTTATTCTTTTATGAACTCTCAAAGTCTAGCAGAATACTTCAGAAGTATTTAATAAATACTTCTTGAATGAATATATAAATAATGAGTAGGAAAAAAGTACACAGTACTGTGTTGTAGATAAAAACCCTGTGGAAACAACCCAAAATTTCTTTTCTCTGGCTTGAGAAATTGATTCAGGGAGAGGCAATGCAGGAATTCTTTTTTTGGGGGGGAGAGTAGAAAGTTAAAAGTTTAGGAAACAATACTTTTTAGGTCATACAAAATACTTATAAGGATCTAGTAATAATTTTGAAGTTACTGAGGTTTGTCTGGGAATGCTAATATATAGATGGAGTTAAGGGAGCAATGGTGGCCTAGTGGTAAAAAACTGCACTGCAATCCTGAAGGCATGTGGTTTGAATAGACCAGCGGCTTCGCAGGAGAAGGATGGGCAATCTTCTCCTATGTGATTAATTGCCTCTGAAAACCTGCTGGAGGGTCAGCTCTGGGTTGGGTCTGACTCAATGGTGCACAACAACAACCACAACAAGGAGCAGAAGGATACAGAACGTAAGCGAAGAGACTGAAAGAAGTGCTAAAAGTTAGTTATCATTTTAGTGCTTTTGTCTTATCAGATATAATCAAATGCTAACTTATCAAAGTTTGTCTAATACAAATTGAGCTTTTAAAAAATAGAGCCTTTATAGTGATGTAATGGAAACTCCTGTAACATAGACATTTTTCTCCAATGGAATATCGATGATATGCTGGTAAGATAGACTGCAAGGAAAGAAGCCCAATAGCTGTTTCTAGATGGAAATCCTGAGCATGAACTGAAAATGTAAAAGTCATAAAACTGATAATTTTTGCTAGGTTTTAGGTAATTTAACAATGACATTCTGTTAGCCAACTCTATAGCAAATGTGTTTAGTGCCAGGAAGTTTGAGTCTGAGAGGCTTATGTGGAAGGGATAGTAACGATCTAGAAAAGGAAAAGAATGCTCAGCCAGCACAGACTGTCAGGGTCACACAAGCGTGCCAGTCCTGGGGAGCAACAAGCACACTGGCATTTCCTAGTTTTCCCCTTCCACTTTGCAATCACTACCTACTCTAAGGATTCACTGATAGCATGATTTTACAAAGCTATACAGTCCTCTTCTTTACTTATGAGAATCACTAAGAAAGACTGAAAAGAAAGAATTGGCAGCATGGTATTTTAAAAAGTAACACACTGTGATGTTTACTTGAGCTCATCCTGGATGGAAATCATCCTATTGCTTTTCTCCATTAACTGATGTAATGGAATGCTTCTGCATTCTCCTACATGAAGGTAATGTCTAGTCCTGCAAGTTGTTTTAAAATACTCCCTCTCTAAATAATAAGATATATGATCATAAGGAACTTTACAAAGCACGGCAAAAGAGAATGAAGAACAAGAAAGTCTTTCCAAAATCCTAAATATGCAAATTATTTTCAGGTACTGCTCCTGACATAAAACATTTATACTAAATAGTTCAGAAGTAACAAGAACAACATTCATATTGCTACACAGAGAACTATTTTTAAAAGGAAAGGAAATTTAAAATAAATGGCTGAACACTTTGATCCAGCAACAACTCTCTTGGGACATCATTCAAGGGAGATAATTAAGAGTAATTTGAAAAATTTGTTTGAAAGGTATTAACTCTAACATTTTTTATCATACAAAAAGAGGAAACCATCCAAATACCCGTTCATACAGTGAAACAGTAAAATGCTATGTGGCCTTTTCAAATTGTATTTTGATACTTATTGTCAGATGAAAGATTTTCTTAGTATCAATAATGAATCAAAACAGAAAGTTGTCAAAGTTATGCAGCTTCATTTTATTTCTACATATGTGCATGTGTTTGTAATAAAATAGGAAAAACCAAATACATGACTACATTACCATTTCTTGACTTGAGATCTCTGTGAATGACCTTGACAGGAGCCTCCATATGTAAGTAGTGCATTCCTTTTCATTTAAGAAAGAAGAAAAGGCCATTAGTATTCTTTTTTTCAACATCACATCAATATTACTTTTCCAATTTAAACATTAGTATTATCTTTGATGTGTTTGCAAAGGATTTAATAGCAGAAACTTAGTATGTTCTATTACTCTATGACTGATAAAATAGAGGGAAATATTTCTACATTTTTGTGGTGTCAGAAACCTTGAAAATTGGCTTTTCTAAACACTGCATTAGCCCACACTGAGGACATGGTCTCTAGCTACCTTACCTGTGGACATAGGGTCTTACAAATCATCAACAGCTATGGGACCAAATAAGCAAGCACTTTCCACATTGTGAAAAAATGGTGGTGGCAAGAGGGTTAAGAGACTGTGGCAAGATGTAAACAGAGGAACCCTGGAGATGCAGCCACAGGAAAAGCTGACTTGTAACTGCTATGAGATAAAGTTTGCAGGATTTAGATCTAGAGTTTTATTTGTGCTGTTGAACTGAACCTAGACTTTCACATGTTCACTGAGAAGCTGTATGAACTAACTGAGGAATTGTGTCTTGCTGTTAACCTGGCTTGGGACTCCTGGACTAAATCTGGAATTGCACTCTGTGACATTCTTTGTCTCCCCCAATTCTCAACAAATTTCCCTAATAAACCCTAAAACTATGAGTAAAGTCTGTGGGTCAATTTGCAATGAGCACTGGACCAACCGATTGGTAGAAATAGGTGCAGAAGCATATGGGGTCACATGTCTGACCATGTAGCTGTTTGTTACTATGGCTGTTATTGATGGGGAGAGTTCCCTTTTAATGAAGTAGGTAGAAGTCAGACTAGGCCACCCACCCCCACACTACAGCTGCTCCTTTTACAATTATATACCACATAAAATTTATGTGCTTTAATTTGAGTGTGGTAAAGCTAGTTTCTTACACTGCCTAATAAGGACACCTTAATTTTCTGAAGTCTGTAATGAAAATAGTTACTGAGCTAGAAGAAGTTAAGTGCTCCATGACTAAGATATTCCACTACCAACTGCTTTCTAAATTAGCCAAATTTCTGATCAAGGTTACAAGCTTTCATGTGGAAATCTGCAGCTACCCAGTGTAACTTGGTTTATTATTGGTTTAGTAAGAAGGGAGGAGTTAAGAGGGTTCACTAGTTTGCCTGGTGAAGAATTTTATAATCCTCAGTTAAAAAAACAAACAAACTTAAAATTTTTTCATTCACCCAAAATCCCTGTAAATGTTCATTAAAATTAATAAAATTTAATAATAAAAAAAAGAAAATAAATTTTTTTTCATTCTTTTTTTACAAAGATCAGTCTTTGAGGTAATCTATACTAAATAGCCTCCAAAATGATCTCCAAAATATTTAGGCTATAAATTCAACTACTTCAGCAAATGGGGTGTATATAATCTAAACAGTGTTTTTCCTTTTTGAATTAAAAAAAAATCAGACATTAAAAAGACACACATATTCTGTTTACTTGCTTGTTGTTATGTGCCATCGCATCACCTGTGACTCATAGTGACCGTATATACATTTGCTCTGAAACTTGCCATATGCTGAGCCAATCTTATCTTCCCTGATAGACTCATTTCTCCAGCTGCTGAGTCAATCCATTTCATCCTGGGTCTTCCTCTCCTCCACTGTTCCTTCACCCATCCAAGCATGTTGCTGCTCTCCAAGGACTGGTCCCTCCTGACTACATGTCCAAAGTATGTGAGATGGAGATTCAAAATCCTTGCCACCAGGGAACAGCCTGATTTCACTCTCTCCAGGACAGACTTACTTGTTCTCCTGCCACTCTTTTCCAGCACCACAACCCAAAGGCATTGATCCTTCTTCTATCACCCTTAGTTATTGTCTAGCTCTAGGATGCATAGCAAGTAACTGCAAAGACCATGGCTTGGATCAAGTGTACCTCAGTCTACAGACTAACATCATTGCTCTTTAGTATTCTAGAGAGCTCTATGACTTAGAATCTTTTTCTATATCCAAATATTATCTACCTTCCTTAGAAAATGTACATTTTTCTTTTTAAATATTTCTTCTCCTTTTACTATTCAAGTTGTCTTTCCTAAATAATGAAATATATAGGCCTTCAAAATAAAACAGGCTCCTTTTATTAACAAATACCCATATTAATATAATATATTAATGAGACTTTGGAACTTTTTCATAGAATGAAAACTTTAAATTCTATAAAAGTTTGTTTCAAAAATATTTTTTTACTATTTTGATGTTTATATAATGAAGAATCATGAAAGAAAAAAGAAAATTTCTTTTTGTTGATTTTTAAAAAAAATTGTTACATGAAGGGAGCTCTGGTGGCCTAGTGGCAAGAAGCTGCACTGCAATCCCAGAGATACACGGTTCAAATCAACCAGATGCTCTGCTGGAAAAGGAGGGTCAATCTCCTCCTGTACCAGTCAGATCCGATTTGACGGTACACACACACAAGATAATAAAATAAATTAAAAAAAATGTTATTTGAATGAAAATTTACAAGTAGTTTTCCATTCAACCCTTCACATGCATTTTGTTTTAGAAATTAATGACTATATCTGCAATGTAACTGCACTTTCCCCACTTTCTCCCTGTAATTCTCATTTCCATTGATATTTCTATCTTACTCTTCCCTGCCTTCTGGGCTTTATCCTTAGGGAAATGGTACTTTTCTGACCCTATATGATTGGTTATTTTAAGGGGTGCTTCCTTGATGTTACTGGTCACTTACATGCCTGTCTAGTGTTTGGTTGAAAGTTGAATCACAGGGATGTTTTGTTTCAGGCTCAAATGGTGACTAAGGTCTAAAGTCTTGGAAGTTCCACAGTCTCTATTGGACCCTTACGCTTGGTATTTTTTTTTATGTTTTTAGTTTTGTTCCACATTTCACTCACTATATACAGACATCCTACTTCATCCTTCCTAAAGTGATCAGCAGTAGTAGCCATCTAGTTCTTCTGGTCTTGAGGTTGTGGAAGTTGAGTTTCACATGATCCTGTGGTTTACATGAGTCCTTTGGATGAACTCTGTCTATACACCTTTGTTTGGCATCCTTTTTCTTACAGTTTTTAAAAGCACAAACATATCACCAAAAAGAGCCAAGTTAACACAAATACTGGTAATGGCCAAGATGACGGAAATTTCTTTTCTAACACAAAATTCCACATCTACCAAACAGAAAATTCCATTTCTATAACCTGGTTTTAATATTAGGTAAATAGTATTGCAAAAAGTATTAAAAATATGTAATTTTGAAGGTTAAGGTACTTTTTAAACACTTCACATGCAAGTGGAAAGTGGACACTGAATAAGAAGACTGAAGGAGAATTGATGCATACGATTTAAGTATTAATGAGAAAAACTGAATACAGTATGGACTACCAGAAGAAAAGGCAACTCTGTCTTCAGAGAGGTATAGCCAGAATGTTCTTTAGAAATGAGAATGGTGAGTTTTGTCATGTATAGTCTGGATATGTTTTCAAGAGAGACCAGTCCCTGGAGGGTCAGTAAAAATAGAGGAAGACCTTCACTGAGAGAAACTGACACACAGTGGCTGCAATATTGAGTTGAAACATAGCAATGATTGTGAAGATGTCACAGGACTGGAGATTGTTCCATTCTGGTGTGCATGGGGTTGCTATGAGGTGAGGCTCGTTGATTAGCAACTTAGAAAAACAATCTGGTTAGCACTTAATTATCTCTATCACTGAATGTCAGAGTTAGCTGTTTTTTTGCTTTAAAATAAAATTCCTGAGTAAATGTTCAGGTTTAATCTCTCTTACTTCATAGCAAAGGCATAGAAAGCTAATCTCCACAATTGTTGACAAAAAAGGATTGAAATATAAAAATTCTGTTTGGCATAAGTTGTTGTTATGTATCATCAAGTCAGGACTAACTCATAGCTGACCCTCCAACAGTTTTTAGAGGCTGTAAATTGCATGAGACAGCCATCTTTCTCCCAAAGAGCAGCTGGTGGATTTGAACCACATGCCTTTGGGTTGGTATCATAATTCCTTACCACTAAGCCACAAGAGCTCCCTGTTGAACACACAAGCTTTAAATATAGATATAGATATAGATAGATGGATAATTTCTTCTTCATGGTATGTATTTTTATTAAAAATACCATATTAACTTTTGAAAATTTATATACTTTAAAAAGTATATACCACATGGCAGCAATCACAAACCTATAAAATTTTATTTCTTTTTATATTTGTGTATAATTCTGTCCTGTCTTCATTGCAAACAATGAGGAGAATGAAAAATACTTTCATCAGTTTTAAGAAATTCAGAGTTTCCCTTAATAACACTGACAGGTATCATTGAGGATAATTTTAGGAACATCTGGGAGCAGTGGTGACCACCTTGGGACTGGATCCAGGTTTATCTGCCTTGACTGGTTCCTTTTATTCACTGATAACTGTCACAAAGCACTTGCACAGTTCTACTTGCTGGTCTACCTCTCCTTCCTTTTTCCCACTCAAAAAGAAAAGGATTTTTTTTTCATTTGAGGAAGTAGTCTCTGAGTAACAATTATATTAAGTAACAGATTTCAAAATGCATGAATCAACTCTTACTCTAAATGTGTGATTCTCTGATTTCTCAACATATTATTACAAGTAATAATCAACAAGTTTCAAACAGTGCCAAATAAAAAGGCCAAAATAAAAAGGTACAAAGGAGAATTTTAAACAAAATTAAGCCTTCAAATTTGACCTGTGAGTTTTGCACACAACCATCAGTGTAGGTTGAAGCCATTCCTATAGTGCTTATTCTTTCTTTTCTTTTAGACCATTTTAAAAGATTCTAAAGTGTTAAATATTGTGATTATAAACATACATGCCTATTCTCTGCAAGATCCTTCTGAACTGAAATCAAATGCATTAGAACTACCCACACAAAAGTGACTTTATGACTTTGTAATTTCCTTGGTCCATTTTAATTTTCTTATTATCTATATTTTTTAAGCTTCTGTTTCTAGTTTGATTAGTTCTGTTCTTTCTTATAAGGTGGGAACCAGGCAAGTTTAAGCAGAGCACAGCTGGAAACTGAATGACTGATGTAGTTGATTACTTCACTATCTACCTTAAATGTCATTAAGTAACAGCATGATTATTATTGGCTGAGGACCCTAACTGCAAATTTCTGTAAGGATAATTCTGTAAATGATCCTTTATGTTCAGACTGTCTCTATGTGTATATACATTTACATGAGTGTGTTTCTATAAGCTTCAATAGATTTCAGCAACACCACAACATCTTGCAGATAAACTGGTGGTTCTCATGGACGACTGAAATGAAGTGACTGAAGATGTATGTCTCAGAGAATATGAAATTTTAAGGTTGACTTGGATGCCTGAACACACAGTTAAGTTAATGAGTATATCAAAGCCTTAAGAAGACCATCCCTAATGCAAAGTTTAGTATTCTTATGAGGTTATCATTCAGCAGAAGTATACAGTATGCAACATTTAAAAAGAATTCTTTGCCAATTTCCAATTTGAAGAATTTGTCAGGTGTTGCTGAAAGTAAGCAGATGAGGTAACTCCCCAAAGGAATTTTGGCTTCCCAGGGGAAGTTGCTCCCACTAGTAAGAACTTAAGTAGCATTGTATTTGCTTTGTAAAGGGATGCTTGTAGAGAATGGAGTTGTAGAATTCAAAGGGAATATTTTAATTGCCCCAGCTAAACTTGGACATGCTTGCTTTGCAGGGGTTGCTAGAATACAAATGTTAACTACCAGGAGTCATCTTGCAGATCAAGTTCTTTCCAATGGAACTTTGACAGTTATTTATAAATAAGACTCAGAAATGTTCAGTTAGGATAATGGAAAAAAGGATAAAAATAAATGGCATTTTACTTACTTTAGAAAGTAGTTTATAAAGGAATTTATAAGATAAAAAGAACTGGGCACCTTGCTGGCAACTATTTTAGGAATTTTGTATATTAAAGTGATTTAATTTCTGAATTCATCTTAAAGCATGAATTGCTTTTAATTGGCAGAGGAAAGAATAATTTTTTTTGCACATGATTACTATTTTTAGCATTTTTCATGTGCAAAAGAACTAAGCCTACAATAAATCACTTTTTTTTTAAGGTAGTGAGTCTAAGTAGACACTTGCAAAACAGCATCAGAATTACGGCTTTTCCATAAGTCTAGACTATTAGTGTCACAAAGCACGACAAAAACTGCTGTCTAGAAGTTTCCAGATTTTTTCTGAACTTGATTTTTAGCAAAGAAACAAAGGGGGAGGGAAGAATGCCGATGTGGAAATCAACCCAATGACCTAAAATATGTATGGATAGTAACCTGCACTACCTATTATTTTCATCTGCAAAAGAAAAAAAATCTAAAAAAACAGGAAAGTAATGTTGTGATACTGTTTCAGTATGAGATGTGCCCCCTGTCTCAATTCTATGAAAGTACAATAAAGCAGGATTACCTTTAGCTACATCTGTTGCCCAGGTCATAATGTGATCCATGTCCATTTCTTCACTTCTATTACTGTTAATATAATCGTAGAGGGATCCCAGAGAAGCATATTCTATTTTTAAAGAAAGAGAAGTGTATAATTAACACCAATTTATAATTCAGAAATAAAGTCTTATCTTTTCCACTGGGAAAATGTGCTAAAGAACTTAACAAAAGCCATCAAAAGGATATAAAAATTGTTGCACTCCATAGTTTCTAAACGTTAACATCATCCTGGGAAATAATCTGTCAAAGACAAAACCACTAACAGAATGAACTGTAGTACTTTATCAGAGGAAGTAATGAAAACCCTATTAAACAGAATTGGGAACCACAAAGAAGTACTGGAAGAGTGTGTTTGGGATAAAAGCATGCACGAAAATATGTGTTTCTTTAAAAATCCGCATCCCTGAATTCTTCCTCTCACTGCCGTTGAGTTGGAACCAACTCATAGCTGACACTCCAGTGGGTTTTCAAGGTGTAAATCACACAGGATACTGACCATCTTCAAACAGCTGGAGAAGCGCTACCTTTGGGTTAACTGTGTCTCTCCCTATAGACTATGTTACCACAGCTCTTATTCCTTACTGTTGTTATGTGCCATGGACCCACAGTGACCTTGGGAACAAGGTTCTGAACCTTGCCCATTCCTGATCCAACCTCACTGTCTCTGAGGTTAAACACATAAGCAATGGAGTTTATGTGACAAATGTATCAAATAATTCTCCTGGCATCAGGGTATCCATCAAAATTTAAGCACAAAATGGGAGGGGGAAAGGCTTTGTTATTATACAGCTGAAAATTTGCCTCCTGTTAAGTTTACATGCAACTCAATGGTTTTCGGTAAATTTCTAGAATTGGGACATTGCTACCCTAATATGATTTTAGATAATTCTCATCACGCCAGGCAGTTCCCTCATCCCTGGTTAAAATGAATAAATATTCTTACCCACATCATTGGTTTGTTACTCTCTCTCTCTAAATTTGCCCTTTCTGGACCTTTCAAATAAATAAAATCATATATTATGTTGTATTTTTAATCTGCTTCCTGTACATAGTGTTAGGTGCTGTCAAGTCTGTTCCAATTCATAGTGGCTCTATGCACAACAGAAAAAAACAGTACTATCTTCACCATCTATGCCGATTGTTCCTGTCCTGATGTCAAGCCATCTCACTGGGGTCTTCCATGTCTTCACTGACCCTATAATTTTCCAGGTAGAATGTCCCTCTGTGGGGACTGGACTCTCCTAATTACATGCCCAAAGTATGTGAGATGAACTTCCACCATCCTTGTCTCTAAGGAACACTCCGTCTCCATTTCTTCCAAGGCAAGCTTGTCTTTTTGTCAGTCCTTAGTCTATTTAGTATTCTCTGCCCATAAATCAAAGGGATCAATTCTTTGATCTTCCTTACTCATTGTCTAACTTTCACATGCATATAAAGCAACTAAAAATAACCATGGTGGCTTGAGCTAGGCTTACCTTAGTCTTTAAAGTGTTATCCTTGCTCTCTAGCATTTTAAACAGGTCCTTGACAGCAGAGCTGTCTGATGAAATCCATTATTTGATTTTTTTGCTGCTGCACAAATTCAGTGCTTCTTAAGTCATGATTTCTTGTCTTCCCATCTCTCTCGTCCTTGGTAACCACTAATAAACTCTACACATTTACTTTATCTAGATATTTCATATAAGTGATATAATACTACATCGATTATTCTATTATTAACCTTTTAAATACAGAATAATTCTTTAAAGAGTCATTCATGTTTTAACATTTACCAGGACTTCATTTCTCTTTATGAATAAAGAATATTCATTGGAAGGGAGCCTGGTGGTTTACTGGTAAGGAATTGTGCACTGTCAACCCACAGGCACATACGGAGTTTGAATCCACCTGCTGATCCATGGAAGAAAAATGGGCAATCTCCTCCCATGCAAGTTATTGCCTATGGAAACCACCAGAGGGTCAGTTGATTCTAGGTCGTATATAACAATAACAAAAACAATATTCATGGTATGTAATATTTAATATATGTACCATATTTTGTTTATCTATTCATCTGTTGCTGAACATTAGGTGGTTTCCACAGAAGTGGAACCTCTGTTAAAGTCCCTCTGGCAGTGTCTGTGGGTTCCAATTTCTTCAAAAGCAATGCTGCATTTTTGACTGGTAAAAGTCTTAGTAACCAAAGTAGGACTCTTAGAATGGGTTCATGTTGGAGCCACAGTAGCTGAGACCAGGGTGGCATGGTCACTTGACTGAATAATCATGCCACCATGATGGAAGCCACTGTGGAAGCCAGTTCAAGTTTTCCCAGATTGTGCTGGAGTAGTGGTACTTTAGGAGGCTTCAATTTCATTAATAATTTGGGCAGTAGGTAGACCTAAAAATCAGATCAACCACTCCTGAATGAATAAAATATAAGAAGTTTTATAATCCATAAAGTTTACAGAATCAACAATATCAGGGACAAAAAGAAGTGTGTCCTTAAAGAGCTTTTGAGTCCAACAGAAGAGGCTGCAGGCAGCATGAAAAGCACTGGATCACACCAGGAAGATGGAGAAAATGTAACAGGCTTCTCAAATCAGCCCATCCTTTGGATTCAAATTAAAGAGAAGTTCTTAATGTGTAAAGACACTGCTAGAATTCCTTTTTAAACCTTTTTTTGTGTGTGATTTGGGTGAAAATTTACCAACCAAGAAAACTAGGTCCTCTTTCAACAATCTATGCACATTTTGTTTTGTGATATTAGTTGCAATTTCCTTTCTATAACAACATTCTTCCTACTTCTTCAGTGGGATCCCCATTTGCACTCCTTCATCTCTCCTTATCTTTTTAACTCTGTTTTTGGACAAATGCTGCCCCCTCTTTTTCTTTTTTAAAATTTTTATTGTATTCTTTTTACGTGTACCGTCAAATCAGATCTGACTGGTACAGGAGGAGTTTGTCCCCTCCTTCTCCAGCAGAGCATCTGGTGGATTTGAACCTCGTACTTCTGGGATTGCAGTGCAGCGTCTTGCCACTAGGCCACCAGAGCTCCCTCCCTCTTTTTCTTTTATGTTGACTGTTCACAGGAGTTATGTTCCTCATGGGTACTGTTAAATGCTGTTGAGTTGACAATAACTCCTAAGAAGGACCCTATGAACAACAGATCTGAACCTTGTACCTTCTGTCTATCCTGACCATCTCTGTTATGCTCAAGGCCACTGTAACAGAGTCATTGTCAACTCTTTTAATACAGTGACATTTTTAGCATTGCTGGTACTCCTCATTTAAGTTACCATTTGATGACATAGCCTTTCAGTGTGAAAGATAGCCTTTAGTACTTCTTCCAAGGCACATCTGCTGGCAACTGACTCTCCCAACTCTTTATTCAGAAACTGATTTTTACCTTCATTTTAAAGAGACTGTTTTGTTGGATACAGGATTTTGTTTCTTTCTTTCAGTACTTAAAAAATATCATTCTACTGCTTCTGGCCACCATTGTATATGTGAAATCAGTCATTAATCCTATTGCTATTCTTTTAGTGAAGACTGGCTTATCTCTTGCTGCTTTTAAAAAGTTCATTTGTCAACAGTTTGACTATAATGCGTGTAGGTGTGAATCCTTTTGTATTGATCCTACTTAAGAGTTCATTGAACCTCTTGGATGTGTAGATTCATGTGTTTTTATAAAATCTGTGGCATCTTGGAGCATTATTAGGTAATCTTAGCACTCCGTTCTTTATCCAACAATATGCACATTGATACACAATGTTGCATCATAAATCTCTGAGGTACTGTTTGTTTGCCTCCCCCCTTACATCTTTTTCTTTTTTCTTGTTTTCTTTTATAATTTCTGTTCATCCAGCAGTAAATTCACCTCGCTTATCATTTCAAATCTACTCTAAAGTCACTTTAATACCTTTTTCATTGCAATTATTCCTTTTCAAGTCCAGAATTTCTTCTTTTTCAAATGAATAGACAGAATTTATTACAAGAATCAGATGCATCTGAGGACTCATGTAGGCTCATTTCTGTAGCTAGAAAACTCCTAGATATAACTTTTCAGCCTGCTGAACAGTTTCTTTTTCAGAGACTTTTTCAGGATATTTTCCCAATATCCTTATTTTTAACTGTTATAGCTTGCTGAGTTAGAGCAGCTGCGTATGATACAAGATCAATGTCATTTCCTTCAAAAATTAACTCATCTTTCTGGGTTTACGATACTGAACAAACAATGGCTGGTCTCGTTCGAACCCTCTGAATGTATTCTTCACCTGAGAAGTCTCAAATCACAGCCATGTTCTCCTGAATCACGATGTTGATGGGAAAATGAGCATACACAGACATCAGCTTGTAACCAAAGCCCTGTGTAACACCCTTGATCACTTTTTGCTCGTGGATATAGATAGATGGTGCAAACCATAGCCAGTTCCTTTCTGTGCCCCCACCATGTGTCAACACGAAGCCTCTTTTTTCTTTCCAAGGAGACCAAGCTCTACATTGATGTGACTGAAGTCCCTCTATAATGATCTCCTCGGCTTTCATGATTAACTGTGCAGCCCTTCAGTGGAATGTCAACATTCCTTGGTTTCCTTTGGTTCTTCCAACATGTTGGTATTTGTATCTTAAATTTAATACCAGAGAACACTCAGAAACTATTTCCACTAACAAGTTTAACCCATTCTTCTTTAACATGCCTTAAAATATCTTACTTAATATTTTAGACAATATACTACAGCAACTTTAAATTTCTACTGAAAAAATTATTTTGTTGAGAAAATGCACAGCAAAACACACAATCCAACAACTCCACAATTCAGTGTCAATGATTATATTCTAAAAGTTTTGCAATTGTTCTTCTTCTCAACTTGCTCCCCATCATTAAAAGAAATGCATTCCCTCGTTTTCATCTAATCTGTAGCAGTACAATTGCCAATTTGATACCATATAATAGAATTTAAAAGAACAAAATGCTCAAGGAAGATATTGTTTGGTAGTTAAAATAAATATTGTTTGACTTTACGAAGACTTCATGGGATATTTTTGGTTTAACGATTGTTACTGACATAGGTGCTGCTGAGTCAACTACAACTTAGAGTGACCCTATGAACCACAGATGAAACCCTGTTTCTATCTTGCTTCGTTCTCACAGTTTTGGCCTTGTTCCTATCCACAGCTGCTGTCATTGTGTCAATCTATCTCACGTCTTCCCTTATTTCATTGACCCTTTATATTTTCAAGCATGATGTTGTTTTTCCACGGAGTTGTCCTCTTGACAATGTGCCTAAAATATGAGAGATGAAGTTTCACCATTTCTTGACTCCACGGAACACCCTGGTTGTACTTCCTCCAAAACAGATTGGTTTGTTCTTTTAGAAATCCATGGGATCTTCAGTGCTATTTGCCAACAACAAAATTAAAAGACATCAAGTCTTCTTTACCGTTCCTTATTTGTTGTCCAACTTTCTCATGCATATGAAGAGATGAAAAATACCACAGCTTGGGTCAGGTGCATCTGTTTTCACACTGAAATTCTTGCTCTTTAGCACATTATAGAGATCCTTAACAGCAAAGTTGTTCTATGTAACACATCTCATGAACTCTGCGACCATGGGTGTTGATTGTGCACCCAAGAATTGAAGGTCTGGTCTGTTCCACAATCGGCCCTGGCCTTGCTTTGACTGTTGATACTAAGCTTCTTCACCGTTTCTTTCCATACATGTAGTCAATTTGACTCTGGTGTATGCTATCTGATGAAGTTCATGTGTACAGAAGCCATTTACATGTTTGTGGATTTGTGTTTTTGGTTTGGTTTTTTTTTTTTTAAAAAAAGGTATCTGAAATGTCTATGTTACTAATTGTACAAAATTCTATCATGTAATCTCTGGCATCATTTCTGTTAACCAAGGTTAAATTTTCCAACAATCAGTCTTTCCTGTTTTCAACCTTTACATTCCAGTCACTATTATTAATGTCTCTTGATTTCATGTTCGATCCATTTAAGACTGCAGAAGTAGGTAGAAAGTCTCAGTTTCTTCATTATTGGCTTTAATGGCTAGTATGTATAATACTTGTATTAACAAGTCTTCCATGTATGCATATGGATATTATCCTGTCACTGACAGCATTGCACTTCAAGATAGATCTTGAAATGTTCTTTTTGATCATGAATGTGTACTGGCACAGGCCAATGATTACGTGATTCAAAATGGTCAATACTAGTCCATTTCAGTTTGTCAAGGCCTACGATTGTCAACCTTTATGCACTTCCATTTCCTTTTTGACAATTTAAAACCTTCCTTGATTCATACTTCATACATTCTATGTTCTAATTATTTATAGATATCTGAAGTTTTCTCTCCTTATTTTGAGCCTTGCCATACTAGCAAATGAAGATCCTTCAGTGGGTGAAAGCTTTATTGTGTCCACCATCATTAAAGCAGACTCTACATTGAGGATACTCGGGTCTGTGCATTGCTGTACAGAGGTAACTCACGGCTGCTGTGATGCTAAACACTGTGACAATGACGTGCCAAATGCGATAATGGTTACCCATGGTGGACAGTGTTTGGTAGAGCTTCTCAATTAAAACAAGTCTGGAAGCAGGAGGGGCATCTACCTCCGAAATGGCTTGCCTCTAGAAACTCTGTGAACACTGCTCAGGTCTTTGATCCACAGGGTCGCTATGAGTTGTCTACTACTCGATGGCACTTAACAACAACTACGCCGAGGAGGCAGCTCTCCCCATCTGCATTTTGAGTGCTTTTCAATCTGAGGGGTTTATCTTCTTAAACTGTATGTCACAATGTTCTTCTGTAAAGCACGAATTTTGAAGTCCTATTATTTCAGAAGTAGATGGCTAATCCTGCTTTTTTCTCTGTTTTAGATAAAGAAGCCCCATTGAAACCCATTTACCATTACTGACCACAGTGTTGGTATTGGAAATACCAGTGACACAGCTTCCAGCACAACCTAAATTATAGGAGGGCAAAGTGACAGGCGAGCAGTGAGCTTAAAAGTCACAGTTGAAAGGTCATAGTTTCAGAAAATGTAGATCGGTTAGGAATTTGAATGAAAAGTTGTTCTTGATGTTTACTGTCTGTTTGCCAATTTGGGCTTAAATTCACAAAATCTGCTACTAATGTCTGGATCAGTCTTTTTGTTTGTTTTGGTTCTGATCTTTGTTTTTCTTCTTAAGCTTATCCTTGTAGGGCTGTTCATTTCCAGAATGTTGAATATTCTGTCCAAGTTTATAGATGCTTTTTGGAGAGAGGATTTGCTGATCTCCTAACTTAATCACAGCTAAAGTTCCTTCTAGAAAAATATGTTTTTAATATTAAAGGACAATCTGGAGAAAAGCTGAGTTTTGTTTATGAGATTGAGAACTACTCCATTCCAAGTTAATGTTTACAGTAATAATAAATATTGTAATGAGAATACCCTTATTTTGAGCAAATAATGTCAAAAAATGTCTATCTGTGAAGACTTAGGAAAGTACGCCAAAACCAAAATTGATTCATGCAATTAAAAGTATTAAATGTTACTATTAGAAATTATAGCTCAGGAAAAATACTAATATTGTTACCCAAACATTAATTATCTCAGTGGAAAGATACACATTTTAAAAAATGTTTATTTTGACACAGAAGTTATATAATAGTTATGTCAAATAGTATACAGTTCTAATTATAATCTTAGATGAATAAGGAAAAGGCAAAGAAGAGAATGGTTTTGAATTTTATTATTAAAGAGCTTCCCCAATGGCAATAAATGTGTTGATATAATACATTACTGTACGTTTTTGATGATTAAGCTGTCCTTTGTAAATACAAACACTGCTGATGATATATTATTTAAAAATTCTTTGGGGTACTTCTTTTCTGTCACTTATAAATCACATATATTCAGTGATGGTACCCAATGACAGTAAAGAGTAGAATCATATTAAACTGAACTTAGAAGATGGGAATAACAAATGACATGCTTTAAACCTAAGAACCAAGCTTGCCTTTCAGACCTTGGCCTTCACGCAAGAAAAAGAGCTTCTTGAAAAAAAAAATGTGTCTACTGTTCTGCATCACACTAGCTGTGTGACCTTGGGAAGTTACTTTCATTTTAAAGCTTCAGTTTATTTGTAAAATATAAGTTATTTTATCTATCTCACGAGGTTATTATAAGTATTAGATGGTGTCTAAGAAAACAGTACCTACTACAATCCTTTTTATTGAGAGTATCTTGTTATTCTTTATTCTCCAAAAAGACATTCCAAGTTTTTATCAGAACTTAAATTTTAAGGTTTTCTTGGTTTTGGTGTTTGGAGTGAGGTTTTTTTTAATGTTAAAATAACTGCCATGATTAGGAACTTGATCAAAAGTACTCATTATAAAACTGAACATGATAGGTACAGATTTAAGGCATGTCATTAGATTATACAAGCAAGAGCACAGAGTATAAAACAAATGTCTTTCTGTGGCCAAAGTTTCTATGGACTCCTTTTTTGGAAAGAACAATTTCACCAGTTATAAGCTGCTGCTCCAAATTATCTGATAATTTAGATCAAGGTCATTACCAAGTCAGATGACCAAACCTGAAAAATATTGTTCTCAAGTCAGAGACCTTGAAGAACGAATGCTCTAAAGGGATTAAAATGTCTTGTGAAGAATTACAACATGAATAGCTCAAGAAATCTTAATTTGTGAAAGGTCACAGAGTTACAAAAAACATCGCTCATTTCAGCTAATTAAATGAAATTTTAGCTAAACGGCACCTTTAAATATTGGTATTGCAGCTGCAAGTGCATTTAAATAGCATTTACGCAGATATAATTAGCACAATTAAACATGGGTAGAAGTGGGAACACCATTCTTAATTATATTGATATAATCAGTTTTATTAATGCTTTATGGCAACAAAAGTGACATCTGACAGGAGCACATAATTCATAACTGAACCTAATATTAAACATTTTAGCATATTAAGGATCTTAAGCTAGGTACTTGAGGAGAGAAAGAAGTCAAATAAAGAGTTCCTACCTGTGACGATACCATAGTTGGGAGGTTCAAGAATTACTCCATAAAACTGGATGATATTTCTGTGACTGAGGACACTGAGTATCTCTGCCTGTTTAAAAATAAAAAGCGTAAATTAAAAAAAAATACATATATAGTAGTCTAATAAAATAGCTACCCCCCATTAAATTTTCTTATACATACATTTACAACAATAGAGGTGTTCAACAAGTATGTAATACTGATAAAACTATACTTAGTACCATTCTGGAAAGTTTAACATTATTAAAGCCTTCTGAAAATTTAAAAATGAGATGAGCTAAAAAAGAGGCAACAAAAGGGCTCGTTACTAGCTTGCTATCATGACTGATCACGGGAGAGGATAACTGATGAGGAATAAAAACATATTTTTGTATAGATGAACCTTCCTCCTAATAGTTAGATATACTTTCTCTGCAGAATGTTTCTTCTAGAAGCTCAATCAGGACTGACAATATACTGGGGAGGTAAGCAGTTATTACAAAACCAAAGAAAGAAGTTCTTGAGTTGAATTTTCATACAATGAAATGGAATGCAGCCTGGTCCCACATTCCCATGATCATGGTGTATGGGACTGTTGTGATCCATACAACTTTCACTGTCTGATTCTGCAGTGTAGAACTCCAGGCCTTTCTAGTGCAACAATTTTAATTTGCACTCTGTATCTTCATAAAATAAAGGGTCCCAATCTGACATGAAATGGGCATAACCAAAACCCTATCCATAAAAATGTATAATAGAAATATCTTTCTCAGGGTATAAAAACATTTCTAGAGATTACTGTAGTTGTCATATGTCACTGTGCCAATTTATTTACAGCTGTGGCTCCTCCCTTCTTGCTGGTGTGAGCAGGTAGTGAATATCAGGGTTTGGTTTGGTTTTATTAATAGTTCTCAGAAGGAGTTGGCTATCTTGTGGCTAGGCTGAATGTTTGGGTTTTTTTAATTTTAATGAACGTTTACAGAGATTTTGAATTTCCATTCATTCATTGTTGCACTTTTCTCCCTGACACCCCCCTCCCACCACAGTTCGCTCCTATCTTTGAAAAGTAAAAGAAAAATCCTTTCATTGGTATACAATCCCCTCCTCTCCTCCGAGTACACTCCACTATTCATTGACTTGAAGCACCCTTCATTCTTGACTCTTGTCATAACCGTAATACCCAATCAAATATCACTTTTAAACTGTTCTCTCCCTCATCTGTTAAGCTGAATTTTTTAGTCTGGAATTTCTGTGTTTTTATATAGGGATGCTGTTATTATTATATATATTATATTCCTACAAATTTTATATAGGGATGTTGGGGTGTCAGAACCCTTGAAAATTGGCTTTTCTAGCCATGTGTTAGTTCTCATTAGGGGCATGATCTCCTGCTACCTTAACTATAGACACATGGTCTTGCAAATCATCAATAGCTATGGGCCAATGTAAGAGAGTGCTTTCCACACTGTAAAAAATGGCAGTGATTGTTATGGAGAGTGTGAAGAGACTGTGGCACTGCTGTGAAGAGACTGTGCCAAGGTATAACCAGAGGAACCCTTAAAATAAAAGACACAGTTAAAGGTTTTACTTGTTGAATTATTGAAGAACAAACTGACTTGTAATTGCTCTGAGATAAAGGCCACAGTTAAAGGTTTTGCTTCCTGGATGATTAAAGGAAAAGCTGATTTATAACTGCCATTTGTGCTGTTGAACCAAACCTGGACTTTCATTAATTGAGGCAGTGTGCCTTGTTTAATCTGGCTTAGAACTACTTCAACCTATTTCCCAAATAAGCCCCACAACTGTGAGTAATGTCTGTGAGTCCTGCAATGAACATGGAACCCAATGATTGGTAAAAATAGATGCAATAATATGTCTGACTATGTAATTATTTGTATGGGGCTATGGACATTATTGATGGGGGCAGTTCCCCTTTATGGAGCAAGTAGAAGTCAGATTTGGCCTTCCCCATGTTACCACTGTTCTTTTCACATATGTACTCTGGAAGTGGAAACAACGCATAGTTTACCTTCCAGTGGGTTTTCAGAGGCAGTAAATCTCACTGGAGGAAAAGGCTCATCTTTCTGCCATTGAGCAGCTGGTGGATTCGAACCACTTAAATCTGACTGTGAAGGTTGGTGGTTCAAACTCACCAGTCCAACCCACTAGGGATGTCCATAAAGACTTCAGTCTTGGAAAATCTGTGAGAAGTTATACTCTGTCCTCTATGAGGTTGCTATAATTAGAAATCAACTTGACCAGCAACAAGCACAGCTTTTTGGTTTATGTTTCAAAAAGGACTGGTTGACCTTCAACCATCTCAGTAGGTAGCATATGATCAGAGCTTTTAACAGTGAAAGAAGTACAAATGGCACTGAAAGCACTCAGGGAAATGAGGCTCCTGGAATTGAAGGTAAATCACTAAGAACTTTCAGCAAATGAACACAACACTGGAAGTGCTCACTCATTTATTCTAAGAAACGTGGAACACATTTATATGGTCAGCTCATGTAAACAGATACTTACCTGTGATGATTTCAAAGAAAAGTGATCCAAATTAATGTAGAAATTATCAAACAGTACATTAATATCACAGCCAAGTAAAATTCTGCTGAAGATAATAAAAAAATGGTTGCAGCAGCACATAGACAGGGCACTGCCAGAAATTCAAGCCAGATTCAGGAGGGCATATGGAGTGAGGGAAATAACTGCTGTTTTTATCTACTACAAAAAGGCACTCAATTATGTGAACCAACAAATTATGGATGAAAGAGAATTCCAACTGTGCTCATGTAGAACCAATACAGACCAAGAAAGAGTTGTTCAAATAGAACAAGAGGATATTATGTGGTTTAATGCCTGAAAAGATACATGTCAGGATTTTATTCTTTCACTATATTTATCCAGTAAGTATGATAAGTAATTAATCTCTGAAGTTAGACTACATCAAATGCTTTCCCATCCTTTTTGATTGTTTCAGCCTCTTTTGATGAAGACAACAGCAGCAGAATTTTAAATCTGCTATAAAGGAATTTCAATGCATAAAATTGTCTAGATAAAACTGAAGGAGATCTGGTTGTACAACAGCTAGGCACTCAGTCACTAATCCAAAGGTTAGCAGTTCAAATCCACCAGTTAGAAACATGCCTATTCTGTCTGACAGGGTTCCTATTCATAAGAATCAACGTAACAGCATGTGTTTAGACAAAGATAAGAAACAAAAAAGTCTTCTTCAATTTCATGCATTTTCACCTTGAGTGACACAACCAGGGATGTTTTCCTAAAATAAAATAAAAAAACAGGTTGGATTCTTACTTATATGGTGTAGTGTTAGCCTAAAAGTTCACTTTTGTTAGCCATTTGGCCTCTGGTCTCCAACTACCTTAATTGAAGACATATAGTTTTACAAATCAGCAAGGTCTCGGAAATTCACATCAACCATGGGACTAGGATAAGTAAAAGAATATTGCCCACACTGAACAGCAAGACTTGAGGCAAGCAAGATTTTGGGCAACAAGACTTGAGGTGAGCAAGGCCTGTAGTGGCAAGATCCTGGTGAGAGGGAAACCCTGGTGTTGGAGAGACGGTGGCAATGCCTTGGGCAAATGGTGGCAAGGTATGACCTGAGGCTTTCTGCATTTGTGCTGACCACAGTTAGCTTGTCAGATATATATATATATTTTTTTTTTTTAGCTTGTCAGATATTTGAAGGAGAAACTGAGTTATAACTGCTCTGAGACAAACCCTGCAAGATGATTAAGTTATATAACTATTTGAGGCAAACCTTGCTGGATGATTTGAATTTGACTGCTGAACTGAAACTGCAACCTAAACTGAAAACTGGTGCCTTGGAGTTGTCAGGCTAAAGCCTGAACTTATTTTGAGTGATAATCTTTGCCTCCCCCACTCTCCAACTTCCTTCTCTAATAAACTCCACTGTTGGTACTATAACTATGAGTCTGTGAGTCAACAACAAATAAGCAAACCTCTTGCTATTGGTGTGGCTCTCGGGGCACCATGGAGCTGGTCTATGGGCTCTGTATCTGCTCTCTCTTCTGTGTCAGTGAAGGGCTGTGTTACTTCTACTCTCTCTGGCCCTTTCAGAGATGCTCAGGGCCATGTGCCTCTAAGGCCCATTTTCTCCTACTTGGACATACGGTAAGATGGAAAACCAGCCCCTCTGCTCCGCAAAATGCTATACTACAAAAACAACTTAAAAAGCAAGCCTAAATGATTTTCACTCCTGAATTTAATCACTAGAATGTCATATATAGGGCATGCTCCTAGTCAGTTTAGGCTTAATGAGATCCATTCATTAACAAAGTCACATGGAAAGCACCAAACTTCTTAATTCTATAAGTTCTCTTTCAAAATATGTCCTCTGTTGAAAGGGAAAAAACGCTACGTAAATGGAACTCACTTTCCATAATGTAATATATAACATATTCCTAATGGTGCTTAATGTCAGGAAGGGTTTTATTTGAGAGGAAAATGGTAAGAAATGCTAAGTAATGATAATGCAACCATTCCACTCACTCTTCTTGTATAACTCAGAGAGAGTCATGGGGGATTTTTATTGTAAGCATCACCAGTGCTGGGAAGTCTCTCTCTCTCTTTTTTTTTTTTTCCGGGAAGTCTCTTATATTGCTCAATGGCTTCCTGATGAGTTGTAGCCTACCGTCTACGCAGCCATCACTCACAGAAGAGCCTGGGCTCCCCTCCAGGGATCATGCCACTGTCTCATTAAGTACATACCCAACTAAGGGCTGACTAGTCTGGCAGGAAAGGAAGATGGCTAAAGCTGAATGAAACAAATAGGGATGATTTAAGACTAGGGAGAGGTCTCCAAATCATAAAGAGGCTAGGAGATTTTATATACTTTATACTCAAAACAGAATGCCACTGTGAAAACACACAAAAATAAAATATATTGTAAACAACCTGAACGATACAGTTTAGGAGACTAAAGCAGATATAAGAATCTAGCTCTCCCAAAACAATTAAGTAACTGAGTCAAAACGATCATTTCCTGTGTTAAAATTACACAGAAAATCAGCCCAAAGAAAGTCCTCAATAAGACTAAGCATGAAA